TAAACAGAATTACATGTCAACACACGCTCTGACTGGGTTCGGACTTTGGGTTGTTCTGACCGTAGTCACGTCTGTTCTGCCCCCTGGTGGCCAAACATCAGTGAATGCAGCTTGAAACCAAAGTCAACGCTGAAAGTTCAGAAGGAGTTTTTCTTGAGTTCGTCTTGCTTCCTTCACCCGAGCCGTCGAGCCAGACGTCGGACCCTGAGCCCGGTTCTGTGTGCGACTGTTGAAGATGATTCATGTTGGGAATCTTGAACTGGATCGTACCTGGACAGGGTGAAGTTTTCTGGCCACGCTGCCGATTCCCTCCACCGTCGTCACGGCGACCAGGTGCAGCGAGCAGACCGGGGCGAGGCAGGCGTTGACGGCGTAATGACTGCAGGAAGTTAAAGATCTCACAGGTGTTTGATGGAGCTGCTGTGGAATCAGGAGCACATTTAAAACACACCGACGCTGTGAGGATACAGCAGCTGCTCGCTGGCCGGGTCGTATCTGGACAACATGACCGTACAGGCTCCACAGCCGCCCTCAGCACAGCCCAGCTTGGTCCCTGTTAAACCCACTGAACACAGCGTTAATCAGCAACAGTGACGGAGTGATGATCCTGTGATCTACTGACAGACCCAGTTAAAGACTGAACCAGCTGTTAATCAGTACGACACTGAGGAGGCTCCTCAGAGAGCAGAGTCCCAGCTGGAGCTTTGTAGAGTCAGATACCTGCTGCTGCAGCCTCCGTCTGTCATCAGGTCTCACTCCAGGAAGCTCCTCCTTTCATTGTTCATCAACACTGAATCCTGGTCCATTTATTTTGGCTTTTTGATCAGACTTTACAAAAACATCACATCAAAGTGAAAGTCCAGTCAGTTCATCACAAATATAAAATCACTGATCGATCAGGACGGACCTCCTTTAAAGTGACTCTAATGTACCTCAGCCAGGTGGTGTAGAAGTCCCACAGTCAGTGAACACATCATCTGAGGTCAGTGAATGAGTCTCAGTGATTGAAGTACAAAGACTTGTGTATCTGGAAGGTCCAGTCTCTGGTGGATCAGAACTCCTGGTTAGAACCACACCACGAAGACTGAAGAACCCTCCAAGAATTCATGATTAAATCAAAGTCCAGCAGGAAGGAGACTAGTGAAGGAGGCCACCGAGGAACCTATGACTCCTCTGAAGGAGGTACCAGAAGGAGACTAGTGTGTGTGATTGAATCTGGACTAGAGTTCACCAGAAGACATGTGGAGACTCTGAAGTCACCTGGAAGGAGGTTCTGTGGTCTGAGGAGACCAGAATGGAGCTTTTAGTCACGAGGCTGATGGAGACCAACAGGATTCGTGCTGCAGCTGAAGCTTCGTCCACTAACTGGCTGGATGTCTGATGAGCTGCTGAGTTTGTAGGAACCAGTTTTGACTTGAAGTCTTTTCTATGAATTATTTTCCAAAGATCCAAATTAAACTGACTCAATGATGAAAAGCAACAAAAGCAGAAAACAGGTTTTATGTGGACTCTTGTGAGTCTTTTTTGTTGGTCTGTGGCACCGAAGGTCCAAACGGACGCTGAGTTCTGGTCACAGATCCTGATGTCCAATCAGAGAGCTGCACTCTGTTCTCACAGACGGTCACTGACCTCAGAGCAGCAGCTGGGACTCTCTGATACTTTGGCATTAAAAGCTGATTCTCCCTGTTTTCTGTTCTGGTTCCATCAGAGTCGAGCCGGAATCGGACTCCCGGATGAAACAGAACAGATTTCAGAAACTCTAATGATCGACCCAGAAGCGAGTCGTCGCCTTCACAGCGCCGACCCGTCCTGAGGACAAAGTCCAGCAGCAGAGACATAAATGAGCTCATCGTACGTTTTCTGCGCAGGAACGTCAGCAGGTTCATCTCTGGGTCGGCCTCCTTCTCCACGACCTGCACAGAACCCAACAGAACACAGCGGCCTCAGAGTCACAGGTCACAGTTAATCATCGACAGGAGATCAAGCACAGCACCACACGGACAAACAGACAAACCCTGAAGCTCAAGAGAGGAAGAAGTTCAGCCTGAACCGGTTCAGAACTCACATGAGCAGGTCTCTGATCCGATCCACTCACATGGACTCGAGTTCTTTCTGGTGAATAATTCACCGTTTCTGCTCCTCAAACACTCGTGACGCCACATTTCTCACTTTAACGTTCACGGCTGCTTTGAATTTTAATTCCTCAGAAGAGTTCTGATTTGCTCCACTTGGTTCCACATTCTTCTGGTTTAGGTCCAAAGTGTGTCTGAACCGAGCTTCTCATTGACAGTCAGTCCAGAACCAGAGTGGACATCAAACACACGTGTCCATACAGTGCACTACAGAGTTTATGGACCACATCCTGCTCATGTGGAGCCTCTGACTGGTGAATCACAGCTTTTGGGTTCGTGGTTCTGAACCAGTTGATCATTAAAGTCTCCTGAAGCAAACGTTTAAAATTCAGCTCATGTAAACAGATGTGATGATGTTTTTGGTGTTTTTACCTTCTTGCCGTTGACAAAGAAGACGAGTTGGTCAGGTTCGGAACCGGACCGGGGCTCGCTATCGGCCATGGTTCCGTTGGGCTCCGTGCTGCTGTCGGGCTCCACTGATCCGTCCGGCGCCGCTCGGAGGCTCGACTGTCCGCTGGGAGGTGCTTCCTCCTCGGTCCTGCGGGCTCCAGCTGCTCCTCCTCCTCCCGAACTCCGCCGTCACAACACCGGACCGGAGCCGAACTTAGCGGAGAGTCCAGGAGCCTCGAGAGCAGCCCAGACTTTCCGACAATCACCGACGGTCTCGGAGATCAGGACGATCGATCCGCTGACGGCTGATTGCTGAATGGTGACCTTCGACCTCAGACAGACGCTGATTAGTCAAAGGTCCAAACAGCTGCAGCAGCCGATTGGCTGAGACGGCTGTGACGTCACCAGGCTGCATGAAGCAACACCTGACAAACACGAGGTGACACCTGGCTGGAAACACTGGCAGGAAGGATGGAAAGCAGCAAAAACACAAAACGGATCAAACAGCAAACCAGCGAAATGATGGATGTCAGGGTTAGATACAGATATATATCTAGATATATCCAGATCTATATAGAAATGTAGATATTAGAAATAAAATGAACATTTAAAAAGTGTTACTTTTAACTCAAATATTATTAAAATAATAAAGGAAATTACTGTAAATAATAAATGTGACAAACGCTTTCATATTCTATCAACATCTTTTGAGAATGATTTGATCTGTAACTAGTTCATATTTACGTCTGAAGACAAACCGAAGCCAAGCAGCTGATTCTTCATGAAACACTGTCTCGTTTGCAGTTTGACATTTATCCCATTTTTCACTTTCATTAAACTGAAGTTAAAGAAGTGAAATGCTGCTTTTGATTGAGTCACACATTCTTCACATTTATCGCTCAGAGATTCATGTGATCAGCAGAAAATCCATTTCATTCGCCTCCAGAAACTGATGACTCATCGCAGAACCAAACTCCTCCAGAACTTTCTGCATTTCTGCTGCAAGTTTATTCAGTTTGAGGAAGAAATTCTGACTGGAAAAGAGAAAACAGATCAAAAATAAAAACCCTGCAAACACAGAAACGCCTGGAAGTAAACTATGAAGAAAAGAGGCCTCAGATGGATCCCTGAGGATCTCCAGATTGAAAAGTGTTGCTCTGAGACCAGAAGTAGAGGAGACATGAACTTTAACAGGTTTGATCGGGGCGCTGCGCAGCTCATGTAGCTGAGCGGGTGACACGTGAACGAGGCTCGAGTCCCCGACACAGCGGTCGTGGGTTCGAGTCCCGCTCACGACGATTTGCTGCAGGTCTTCTTCTCCCCCGTCCTGCCTCTTCTCTCACTATCCTGACGAATAAAAATGATTTTGTCTGATGCTGTGTTGTTTATTTGTCACTTCAGCTATGAAAGGAAAATGTCAGCGTCTGTAGAACCTGGAAGAGCAGCGAGTGTTTAGTTTTAACGCCAACTTTTACTTTCACATGATTTACTCTCGAAAACTTACTTAAGTGTTTAAGCATCCAACGTGAAGGAGAACGTTTCTGTGAAGAAACAATGTGGGACCTAAAGTCGATCCCTGAGGAACTAAAGCAGTTTCAGCACTATGTTTCAAAAGAACAAAACTTTTTCTGTCTCCAGACGGAGACGTGACGTCTGATTAAGGTTTGTTTCAGTAAATCAATCATTTAGCTGCAGATTAATAATCAATAAAGCTCTGAGTGATATTTAAGATTTTCATGACAGTAAAACATTTAAAAAGTGTGAAACTCCTGGAACATGAATGTAAATATGCAACAATAAGGGACCTGAAACAGAGCCGAGAGGGACTCCAGCTTTAGCATGGAATGAATATATACTTATATACACTAAAGCAACATTTATCCCATAAACATGGTACGCTGGATCCACATATGCTATCACAAGTACTTCACAGTAAAAACACAGAGCAGGTTTATTGTCTGTTTTCAGGAGGATTTTCTCTCTGCAGGAAAGCTGGACTTATTTTATTTTGAAGGTCTGGTGAGCTGATAAGGGACAGCAGCTGCTGCAGAACGGATCAGTGATTAACCTACAAGCTGCTCTCTGTTCATGTGAACACACTGAGACCAGCTGCTCACTTTAAAACAACAAAACCACAAAATCAACATTTGTAGAACATTTCTCAGAACACCGTGGCGTGTTCAGGTGCTGCTAGGAAATCTCAGTGTTACGGAAATAAACCACTGAGTCAAACAAACTGCAGAATGCTTAAAGAACAGGTCGGGACATTTTATTGTTCTACATTCATGTTTTGAAAATTGAAATTGTATAAAATAGAATTTAGTATTTACAGACCTAAAAACTTCTACAGTTTCCTTGAAACGTTTTCAGAACAATTTTGGTATATTCCAAACCTACAGACGCTAAATTTAAAGTCCGCCTGGTAAACTGCTGCTCCGGAAACAGCGCCACATGCTGGCCAGTCAGGACGGTGCAACCTGCGGTTTGCTGGTTCCACCATCAGGAAGAATCAAATGTTCCTTTAAACACACGAAGTGACGACAGAAGAACTAAAACAGATGAAACAGGAGAACTTCTCTGGTTCCGGTTTCATCTTCGTCTCGTCGTCCATCTGAAGGCCAGAAAAATCCAACGAGACGTGTTTCGCTGCTTCGCACCTCGAGTCAGAGTGAAAATCACGTTTCCTCGGTTTGTGTTGAGCTGCAGCCTGAAGGAGCTGAAAGTGGAAAATAAAAGAGCGTCGGAACAAAAGCAGAACTTCTTCACCGTCAGCGCCTCCATCTGAGTCAGAAACACGTTCTTCTGCTCCGAGTCACAACTCAGTCAGATGTGAGTCACACATGAAACACAACGTTAAGAATCAGGGAAGAAACCATGAAGTCCACAGAAGACCGTCCAGAAAACCACAGAACGTCCAGAAAACCACAGAAGAACGTCCAGAAAACCACAGAAGAACATCCAGAAAACCACAGAAGAACGTCCAGAAAACCCTGAGAATCCATCTGGTTCCTTCAGTGTGTTTCTGGACAGTCAGGTTAAACTTCTAATCGTCATGAGATGGGCTTTGAAAGCACCAAGGTGACACGTTCACTAAGGGATTTATCACATGGTCAACTTTCCGACAGTCCTTGAAGGCATCATCCGTGACGTTTGCGTCCATCAGTATAAACTGGTACAAATGAAGCCTTGAACCGGGTTCAGTACAAACTAGAACTCTGGAGCTTCATGAAGAAACAGCTGCAGACTGGACCATGTGGATCTGTGACTGAAACAGCCGTGGAGGCGTTCCTGCTGACAGAAGACCTTTCTGAGTTCTCTTCTGCGTTGTTCTGGTTCCACAGAGCTGCAGTGGAAACCACAGTGAAGAACAACTGCTCTGTGGTTGCTGCTGTGTCTCCATGGTGACCACAGGCTCCTCCCCCTCACCTGGACCAGGTGTTCTAGGAGGCCTCCACCAGGTGGAACCCTCCGTTCTCCTCCCTCAGCTTCTCCCTCTTGCGGGCCTGAACCAGACTGTAGACCACAGCTCCCAGCGTGTTCCTGTTGAGGCTGAAGCCCCGCCCACTGCCGCGCTCAATCAAGCTGGAGCGTTCCTCCTGATTGGACACGAAGAACGTGTGGACCTGATGGAACCAGAACATCCACACCGTCAGAACCTCATCAGCTGTTCCTGTTTATATGATTCAAGTTCAGACGATCATCACGTCTTTTGCTGTGTTCACATTGATTTGCTGCCTTTTACCTGTCTGATCGCGTTCACCTGTCTGATCGCGTTCACCTGTCTGATCGCGTTCACCTGTCTGATCACGTTCACCTGTCTCACTCACCTCACCGTGACGTTCGCTGATGCCTTTGATGTAAATCTTTCCTCTGAACTGTCTCAGAAATCCTCTTTCAACCAGAACACAGCTGGTGGACTCTGGGACCTGACACACAGACAGAAAGACAGGTGAGTGGACAGACAGGTGAGCAGACAGACAGACAGACAGACAGGTGAGCTCACCTGGATCTTGCCGCTGACCCCGGTGCTCTCCATCCTGCTCGCCATGTTCACCGTCGTCCCCCAGATGTCGTACTGAGGCTTGGTGGCTCCGACCACACCTGCGATGACGGCGCCGTGAGCGATACCTGCCGATGACATCACAGCGTTTACCTCACGACCAATCAGAGACGGCGATTCGACACCTGGTCCTCCATCTTCTAAAGACTGTGTTGTGTGTCTG